CCACTGCCGGGGGAAGGCCCCTGGCTAGTAAGCAGGACCTTACAGCAGGTAGGCATGCAGCCTCCACAACTCTGGATGCGGGTGAAATATCCCCCCACCCTGCCTGAGAGAGGAGATCTTGGTGAAGAGGAAGTTGCCAGGGCTGAGCAGCCAGCAGGCTGATTATCTCAGCGTACCAAGACTTCGCTGGCCAATGGGGCGCCACCAGAATCAGAGACAGACCCTGTCTGCGTACCCTCTCTAGTACAGGCAGTATCATTTGTACTGGGGAAAATGCATACAGCAGTACGTTGGGCCACGGGTGGGCTAGAGCGTCCACCCCCAGTGGGGCGTTCTGATCCGTTATGGAAAAGAACAGAGGGCAGTGGGTGTTGGCCCTTGTGGCAAAGAGATCCACTGCTGCCCTGCCAAACAGGTTCCAACCTGGTCCACCTTTGGGGGGTGCAGCCTCCACTCCCTCACCATAGGTCCGCCCCTGGAGAGTAGATCTGGGCCCAGATTCAGCCTCCCAGGAACGTGAGTGGCCCTGATAGACAGGAAATGCACGCTGCACCACTGCAAGAGAGTGAGACAGTTCCAACAGGGGAAGAGACCGTGTTCCCCCCTGTCTGTTTATGTATGACACTACGGTCGTGTTGTCTGTTCTGATCAGAACATGTTGGTTCTGCAGAACCGGACAAAACTGTTTCAGTGCTAACAGAACCGCTAACAATTCCAGGCAGTTTATGTGGAGTCTGGACTGCTTCAGAGTCCAAACCCCCCTCACTGCCGCACCATCGCACAGAGCCCCCAACCCCACCAGGGAGGCGTCTGTGGATACCACCTTGCGAAATGACACTCTCCCTCGGTGAGCCTCGGCACTGCAGGCCAGGTTCCCTCCAAGGACTGAGAGCCTTCATGCATGAGGCAGTTATCGTTAGCTTTCTGTGGCGGTGTCGTAATGCACACAGCCGGTGAGAGTGGGACCAGCGCTGAAACCGACACATTTTTAGCAGGCTGAGTGGTACTACTGCGATCATAGAAGCCATCATGCCCAACAGTTGCAGAACGGTCTGAAAACTCAGTTTGCGTCCCAGTTGAAACTGAGCGAGGCAGCGGTGAAACGCAGCTGCTCTGTTTTCTGAGAGACGCGCTCTGCCCGACAGGGAGCATATTTCTAACCCGAGGAAAGAAAACTGTTGGCTCGGAGTCAATAAGCTTTTCTGAAAATTTACAGAAAAACCCAGAGCCTAATCTCAATACTTTGTTGTATAT